AAAAATTTTATCACCAATCGGTAGCAAATTGTTTGAAGATTTTTGCGAGTTAAGAAAAAATCGTCAATGCACTCCTATTATTGTGTAAATTAACAATTCCAATTTCAACTGAAAACCAGAGTTGATGACCAGAATTTGTAGCAGAGATGTCAGACAAGATATGAATGTTTTTTTTGGCTCAAATGAAAGAGCGGGTCGAGAAATGGCGTGCAGAAGTCCGGAAATTGATTATTTATACCTGCTAGCTATATGTCCGTGTCAGAATTTATTTCGGTAGACAATAATGTTATCAATTCAATTAAACAACTCTTTCTCAATTATTATGTGTTACTAGTTATTATTTTGTTTTTGTTTTGTACATTCCATTTTGTTGTTATGAAATCCTACATTTGGCTTTGGAAAACGGTATCAATCCAACAAATTGTATAATCATCTACACTATTAAATTCTTTACACTCTATCATTATTTTTAACGTCACCTGGTTTTACAAATTTCATAGAAAAATTGAATACGTCAGCGAAATGATAATGTCTATTGCGATTATAATCACTTTAAGTTTCTCCTAAATTCCCTACGATGTATAAGGATATTAGATGCCCTTGAATTCTAGAAAAACCCTGAAGTGCAAACATCAAACGAAAATCAAACCAACAACTAATTTCACTAGTTGATTTTTATCAAATGAAGTTGTTCATTCGTCAAATATAAATATGAAGAATATAGGGGGGTAGTGGGGCATTGTGAACAATTTCGACTTGTGTTGAAATTTTAATAATTGGAATGGGCTATTTTTTTTTCTCGTAAAGTACAACTCTTTCTCCTCATAATGAGTCCAGACTGAACTCAAATGATGACATTATCTCCGAGTTATGAACATTATAATAAAAAGCCAGTGTCCATTTTGCCCCACCCTCTCCTAAAACCAACTACTTGATTGATTCTCTTCTGTAACATTCAAATGCAGAAGAATATTTGATTCAGTTATTATCATGAGATCAAATATTCCCCCAATGTTCTGGGTCATGACTGTTTACAGTACTCCATTGGTTCGAAAAAGAACCGATCCACTCGTAAATATAGAAATGACTCATCGAAGAGTCGAAGCATTTGATGAAACATCTTGCATTATTTGTGGAATTAATCCACGAAAAAGTGTCTTAATGAGGAAGCACTTAGTAACTAGTTCGCAATTAATAAATTTTTATATGCAGATATTATAATACACTATGAGCAACCCTTCCACTCAATCGAATCAACGCAATCATCAAAGAAACATTTTCCCTTCTATTGATCACTTTAATATGATTATCGTTTCTTTTTATAAACAATCAATGGTCAATATTATCATAATTTTAACCTTCAATGCTTGGTAACTTATGAACTATTCACAACTGTTGCTCCAGAATAAACAATTTCCTACTCCGCTGTAACATATTAACGAAACAGCAGCAACAAAAACGAGACTGCATATTATACATGGCTTTCGCTCAAGGAAGAAACCGATGAGATACAACACCATGAACATAACATGAGTTTGAAGGAGGGCTGGATTTACTGGTTTTGGTATCAGTAAAACTGGAATTAACCACTGTAAACAATACATTCTCCTTTCTTCCTTTTTTTTAAATGAATAAATTCTGTTGTAGCGGGTACAATCCATTCGTCAGAGAAACACGCCCATTGACACCTGAAATCACGTAATCAAATTTGTGTCACGTTTTCATAATTCATTGGATCGCTGTATTTATCATTAGTGAGTAATTATTCAGTAACAAACCTTCTTTTTAGCGGTCATCATAACCTCGCCAATTTCTCCATAATTCATACTATGGTGTATAACCAATATATAATACTGCTCATTAGGAGAGAGTGAGAATAACTGATTCTATGATGCAATAATTTTCACTCGTCACTTGTGTAAAATGATTGATGATGTTTTAATCACTGTCGAGTATTTCCTTGTTATTCACCACGATTTTTTAAGTCTTTTTAGAATGAATAATATCTCGAATGAATTTACTATTTCATTCATATTTCTACAATGCACAGTGTCTTTTTATTTAATCTTGATCCTCTTGCGGACTCTGTAACCCATTTTTTTACAAGTACAATCGTCGATGGAAGACTGAAAAAATTTGATAATAAATGGGGATCAAAATCTAGACATTTTTGGGCGTTTGCGGTCTTTGGAGGAAAGCCGATAGTGCAGAGATGTTCATTTTTCACAGAAGGTACACTCTGTCGATAATCAATGATCGAGGCGAAATTCAAAATTTTTTACAACAATGTTTCATACCACGCATTTTTTACTCTTCATTTTCAATGTCATTGCATAAATTGCTTTATTTAACAGATGACTCGACAGTTAAAAAATCGTTTATCGAGTTTTATGATGTTTTTATGGTTTTCAACTTCCGCATAAGAACTGAGCTTCCGTGAGAATGTGATTTCAATCATTCACACGAGCACATTTAGTTGTAATGTTGGAGAACAAGATACAAAAGTCCTCTTATCTTGAAGTCTTTTATTCTTGATGCATATCTTTTAATCCGGCGGGGGGGGGGGGGGGAANATTCACCACGATTTTTTAAGTCTTTTTAGAATGAATAATATCTCGAATGAATTTACTATTTCATTCATATTTCTACAATGCACAGTGTCTTTTTATTTAATCTTGATCCTCTTGCGGACTCTGTAACCCATTTTTTTACAAGTACAATCGTCGATGGAAGACTGAAAAAATTTGATAATAAATGGGGATCAAAATCTAGACATTTTTGGGCGTTTGCGGTCTTTGGAGGAAAGCCGATAGTGCAGAGATGTTCATTTTTCACAGAAGGTACACTCTGTCGATAATCAATGATCGAGGCGAAATTCAAAATTTTTTACAACAATGTTTCATACCACGCATTTTTTACTCTTCATTTTCAATGTCATTGCATAAATTGCTTTATTTAACTGATGACTCGACAGTTAAAAAATCGTTTATCGAGTTTTATGATGTTTTTATGGTTTTCAACTTCCGCATAAGAACTGAGCTTCCGTGAGAATGTGATTTCAATCATTCACACGAGCACATTTAGTTGTAATGTTGGAGAACAAGATACAAAAGTCCTCTTATCTTGAAGTCTTTTATTCTTGATGCATATCTTTTAATCGGGCGGGGGGGGGGCAATAATTTTCATTAGAAACTTTTATTCAGAGGAAGGTGAGATGCTGTACCAATTGTAATAATTAAAATTCATGAGACATCAGGAAGAACTTTATGCTTCTGTTCATGAATTGATTTCATTGACAAATAAATGTCGACTGGATGTACCTTTAAATGTATGCCACCTTGGGAATTTCACATATGTACATTCATTCAAGTAACATACATTTTCGGAGGGCAATTGTACAAACAATGGAAAACATTGCTGTCAATATCAACATTGAACTCATTTCATTCGGCCAAATGAATTATCGTCCGGAGTATTATAATATTCCCTGTTGTACAACAGAACTGTACATGGTATATATGTACCTTGTGAAAAAAGAGGCCATGCAGTGAGGAAAGTTGCGGCACGATATTGACTACTGCATGGAGTTGTATCCAATCGTGAAGCAGCATAGTAGGAGCCATCTTGCTCAACTCCTGCCTTCCGAGCTGGAAGTCGCATGGGGCCAGGCCCAGTGTACCATGTACTAACAGTATACATTGACTCTCGCGTCGTACCTCGCGGTGAAGTGACTGCAAGTGACGTAGTCCAACTATTTGTTGATGAAAACGATGAGAGATTTTATTAGCGATGAAAATTCATCTTCTCGTTTGCGGATGTACCTGCTGCGACGAATAACGACAGTATGATCTTCAGTTGCTGGTGGTTATTGTGTAACAGTCGTAATGCAGAGTGTTGAAGTGAAAAAATGTGCTGATGAACTGAATTGAATTGTTTTGATTGAATTTATTGAGTTGACAGTATGTGCAAACAATGCGAACAGTGAGAGGACTTTGAGTCGCGGAAATAAAAACAACCACTTGTTGCACGTCATTGAAGAAGAAGAAGAATGGAGCTGCTGGGGTAATGCCGATGATTATGGTAAATATTAGAAATGTTTTTGCTGCAGTTTTGAATTATGCAGGTATTCTTTGCATGCTGTGAGCCCATACCTCGTCATCTGCATATTCCACATAACTGCATCTTTCGACATTCCGGTGAATTATATACCGGATAAACGTTGAATGTTTGAATTACAAACGTACTCCGGACATTTCCAGGATGCTTTTTCGTTTCATTTTATTTTACATCGTTTGAATGTGTGATTATCCAACTATTTTTGTCTGTTATCTATCCAGAAGCCGGAATTGTAGGCTTATAAGTTCATTGGCTACACAATATAATGTATTCTTGGCGCATAGTTGTGCCAGTGTGCGTGTGTGCCTAAAATTATTATGTCTCCGAGAGATAGAAAAATAGTTATCTTCTTTGAATAATTCCAGGCATGAATCTCGGAATTCATAGATGTGTTGTGAAACCGTAATGCATAATCGATTTTTAAGTGCCTTATTCATTCCAAAGTGATTCGTCAGATTCAACAACGAGAATCTATTTTATTATCGTGTCAATAAATTTATTCTATAAATTCGAGTGAAGGAAGGTTGGAGATCCATCATTCAATATCGAGTAATGATGTCGGTATAAGAATATCTTAATCTTTATTTATGAATTCTCATCTTTGGATTGAGAACAAGAATGTTCTTGGGGAATTCTCTATTCGATTCTGTTTGATTCGGATCTCCTTCATTCATCGATATCCTCTATCCACCCACTGAGGAAATAAAAACTCTCGTTTCGAAATCTAAATTCACATTCGAAGAATAAAATTGACATATTTGAATGAATTTCATTTAATTTTTATTTCATACAGACCCAACAGTCCACGGCCAATTACAGGATCAAAATCAAATAGACATAAAGTATAATAATGAAATTAATAAAATCAACAGTTCAAAGTAGTACTCTTGACGGAAAGAACATGAGAACATGAGAATACTGAACATGAGAATAAAAGTCACTCAAACTTTTTTTATTCATGTATTTTTACACGTCACAACGGCCTGCAACAGTGTAATGCATAGTAATTTACACGAGACAAATTATTTTTAACTACTTATTGAGAAATAACGAAAATGGTCTTACCCGCATGGCTTTTCTCAGCAATTGGCACACAGAAGTCCAAACGATCGGTCCCATGATGCTTGAAAATTTTTTGAGATAATATGTTGCGCACATAATGGAGAATTTACAGCAACTGGTCGACGGAATATAGTAAAGTATTGTAGTAATTGTGTCTGGCAGTATTGTGATTATAAAAACAGAGATCATACCCACTGAAAAAAACGCGTTTTTTAAACATTTTCTCATCACTTTGTTAACTTGGCGAGTGATATTACGATAACATGTATTATGGCCGAAACTATACGGATTCCTATTTACAAGAGAGGGTGGGGGGCAATTGACACATTTGACTCTTTTTTGAATGTTCATAACAACAACATTTTGAAACAAATCAAAAGTGTCCATATTGCCCACTCCTTCCTGCTTTACCTAGCAATCGAAAAGCATCTGTTTCGTAAACTTTGTGAATATCCTCAATTCGATCCCTTTCATGTAATCCATTACAAATAAGTATATTCAGACCGATAATGCCACCGCCAAATTGCATCAGGTACATTGCGGTAAAAAATACGTATACTGCAATGCCAGTCTCCCCTCGAAACAATTCATACAGCTGGAGTTCGAACGCCGCTGTTACAGTTGTGAATGCCCAAATCACGAACACACCTTTAACTGATATAGAAGGGTCTGATAGATTTCTGTGCTGAGTAGATCCGCGGCAACGAATCGCAAGATATCGATCGAGATTGAAAATAATAATAGTGAAAAGGGAACTCTGAAAAACAATTCGATTGGTGTAAGCGCGATCGGTACTAGTTGCAATGTTGAAATTGTATTGGAGCACGTCCTCCAGAATGTCCAGTAGAGAGATGATATTAGAGATGGTCAGGCTGAAGATGTAGCAACCAGCGGAATTATGCACCGATTTTCCCACGACCAGTGTCAGAATGACGAATGAATTGAGAATTGAACCCACGATCAGAATCAATGAATCGAGAATTTTGAGGCTTTCTTCATTAAAAAATAATTCGTCACTTTCTTCGGTGATGAATTTCCCCGTTAACTTGATATTAAAAATATAATCCTTTCTCATGGTTCCCACTGTTTGCTATTAACTATTCTTCACCGAATTGCTATTCATAACTGGTCATTTGATGAGGCGCCTGGATGAGAATAGTCTAGGGTTCCCTTGTGGTAGTTCCGACGAGGTGTGCCAGTTTAATTGTCTGGTGCATCTAAGTTAATAACATCTTTTTTACACGCAACGATGTTATCTAGGTGAGTATAGCGATGTATACAGAAGGGAGGGCAGTCGCTAGTTGCGTGCGCTGGTATAGCAAAGCTTGCGTCCAAATGGAAGAGAGAGAAGGCAATGATCATTCGTCAGTATTGATGCAAAAAATTGGACTTTCAATTTTCAATCTTTCATTTTGTATAGATAGTTCTCCCCTCCCTGATTACAATTCAGTAGTGAAGCGGTAAAATGGTTCCAGTCGATTTTGACTATTGGTCAGTTTTTAAGGTTTTAATATCTGAAAATCGAAGGGAGCTCTATTTGCCTCAAATTCCGAGATATTCATTAAAAACTGACGAATACTGAATTCTGCACTAGGATATTAAATGTATTCGATAATCTGTTGTTTTGTGCAGATTACATAAAGATACGCCATGATGACAATGATGGAATTGCTACAGCAGGAAATAGCGTGTGACAATACACTGGATTACTCCAAGTACTTGCAATCACCCCATCATTCGAAAATAATTAATCAACACACCCAGAATCCAGTGCAGAGCCAAAATGATCAGCTCAATGGTGGTGACCACAATACGAGTTTCAATGGGACCAAAGGACTGCTCAATAAACCTGGCCAAAATAACTGCTTCCTTAACAGTGCAATCCAGGTAAATGGCTCTTATTCAATTATCCTCAGCGATGATACTGAGTTATTCATCTGCAGTTGAAATGGTTGGACATGAAAGGTGGATGTTAGCGCCGTTTACGTTAGCAACTCCAATATGTGTTGACGGTTTCCGGGAAGTAATTACCCTTGGTAGTGAACCCTTCGTCGTCTACTCCACGTTTTTCCATGATTGAAACTGATTCTGGGGGTCATTGCCAAGCCGTGAAATTACACTAGTGTTTTGTTACCGATCGTGGGAGGGACCTTGTATATCCAAGCCGTGTGCCTCACAAGAGGTGAAGGTACGGACTCTAGAGACGTTAGACCTCGTCTTCATCCGGTCTTCACCTACTCCGCTGGGTTCACAGTCGAGGGTTACATTTTAGGTTCAAGGTTGATGTTATGAAAAATATATTTAATAATGCATACAAAGGTGCGCGAGGGGGTGTATTCCGTGGACTTGAATGTTTCTCATCAGAACTGGCTTCTATCTACGAGCAACTATTCACAGACGTAATCGATTACATTTTGTAATCATGGCGTCGCCCCATGCCTGTTCTAAATGAAATCTTTTGATTTAATCACAGCCAAAAAAAAGTAGTGTTGAAAAAAGAGAATAATACACGTAATTGCAATTCTGCACGTATCTTTCTCTTCTTTCTAACAGTCATTTTTCACTGATCTGGTGTAAGTTGAAGCCCCGCGAGATAATAGTTGCCACACGACCCCCACACATGATCTCCATTCACTGGAATAATGCCGTAAAGTTACCTGAAATGGCTTTATGTAAATTAAATCTAGACACGACATTTCAATCTCGATACTTTTATGTAGGATTTTGGTAATGGATTCGGGTGAAAGATCACTTGATAGTGCGTGTCATAAAGCATTAAATGCCTGATTAAATCCATCGAAATCAAAATTCTGCTAATTGAACGAAATGACGGCCCATTATTTTTATTTGTCCATAAACTTTATGCAAATACATCTGCAACGGAATTTTCAATTACATCGGCCTAAATAGATTTGAATGTGGCGAAGTACATATGCATAGACACGCAGATAGTGTCCTCAGGAACACTAAATCAAGAACAATGAGAACCGCCCACAGGGATAGTTGCAAAGTCTTGGAGGTCCCTCAAATACGATATTACTAATGGTAGTCGCTGAGCCATATATCCGGGCTTGTCGTTATGGTTGAAGGTAATAGTATGCACAAGTACATATGAAGCCAAACTCAACAGGTACAGTTGTACCTTAAAGTAAGCGACGACGAAACCTGTTGCACGAGTCGATTTGAAGCAGGTGTGCATTTGGTGGATCCTCTGATTCACCTGAGGGTGCAGGTGCTACTTTGGGACTAACGAACAGTAACACTTGGTGGTGAAAAAAAATAATGGGGGGCCAGATTTATTTTTATTCGTGCTTCTGAATAGGAGCATTGTAGTCGGCTTGATTTTAGGACCCTAATATTTTGAATAAGATTTATTTGAAATCTTATTCATTGCAGCAAGATTTTTATTGACAAATAATTAAAAATTCAGGAATTATGGCCAATGATTTGTGTCCAACAGTGAAATTATTGTGTGTAAAATTCTCCATATATCGATAATTCAGTTCAATCTTAAATATGTAGATCCAAGAAAGTAAATAACCTTGACATAATTCATGCAATGGGATCATAAAAATCCCATCGAATTAATTACACACGATAAGCTCACATATTCCAAGCAGTCTGTCATTTTTCCTGTCATCTATAGACAGATTAAATTTTCCCTTTGATGTCCAATTCGTCGAGGTCAACGGGTATATGCTCTGTGAAATCTGCTGGATAATACTCCAGGTCCCACGTGATTCAAGTACCGTGACCACGCAAAGGAAAGCGAATGAGCGAATGAGCGAAGCCACGATATGGGAGAACGGACAATACGGGTTTTTTTTTGACGATGGAAATAGGGGAGTTTGAATGACGTGGATATGAGTGAGAAAGAAGGTGAGTGGGGAGTTTAAAAGAGGTGTTAAGGTGGTGGGGAATAATCAAAACCGGAAGTCCCTACCGGAACTGTTTTTCCTCCGCGGAGGTTCACATGACTTCTAGTGCTCATCGTTGAGATCAGAGTAATTTTCTATGTTGAGATCAGGGTTGAGTTGAAGGCGCCTGCTATAACTACGTCACAAAAGTTTTTCTATTCTTCTATTTTTTAAATTTTGGCATCATGAAAATTTTTCATTTTTGAGACGTTATTTCATATTCCATAATTCTATGCAACAAAAATACCAGCCTGGATTATTTCCATCTTATCACGGAACATGTCAATATCAGTGAGCGTAGTCACGTTTCTGCGGCACTGATAAATACTACATGCTCGCTAACGCATGGAACATAGAGCACGGAAAGAATATGGAGTGGGATACGGTGAGAGTATTGTACGATGACAATAGCTCAAAGTTTTGAGCCGTAAAGAACCTATTTATTTCCCGAACGTTTGTTGCCTTTGTTAATTGCTCCTGTTAACATTTCGTACAAGTGTATCCTTCAACTGCATTCCTTTTCGGCTTGCATATCCATTGTTGTGTACGATCAATGGTATTAACAGTTTCCAATTTAGATTGAAAGCGAGCATTTGGTATTGTCGATGAGTATTTGTCATTACAAAGGGTCCTCTCCCATTATCAATAACACTGAAATCATTGGGATTGGAAAGCAGGATTGTAATGCCCACAATGATCATAATCATGTTGATGTTCATAAATACAGACAGTGCATGCGTTAATCTACGGTGGCATTTGCGGGAATGGATTATTCTCGTCGAAAGCGTGAACCCCGATGACAATGGGTCAACATCCTCACATAATGAATCAAGTTTATGCTTTTGATTTTTCTCCCATCGTAGTCGTACTATACGGAGTTCATTGTGAGTCATACGGACTATTCCTGCTATCGTAGGTCCTTACCCCGTACCTGAAGTTGTGGCGCCCCCTGTGTGATACAACCGGAATCATTTTTTGCGCCAAAATATGGGACCGAGGGTCCCCAGGCCCAGACACAATCATTCCAAGGGAATAATGGAACTTAACTCTAAATAATCCACGGTATTCGGAATAAAGCGAAAAGACTTTGAAGAGAAAGGTCAATATGTTGAAGGTTTTTGTTTGAATTTATTCATGGCCTTCGAGATTAATCCCTCAATTCCTTCAATGATCGATTACACCTCGGACGTGAATAACGCTATTGCCTCATCAATAGAAAATTCTAATCCGACAGGCGATGAATCCCTTTAATTAACTACAGTAAACTTTTACTCTAATTTGTATTCCAAGGCTGGTTCTTGTATTCTACCTATTGGAGTAAGGAACTCTATAGTAAAAACTCTCTTTTACTATCCACTGCTGCCTCCCTGCTATTCGTAAAACCGGTTTTTTATACATCTTTGTTCAACACCCACCTCGACTCCGTAGTCATCTCTCTTTTGCTTGTCCTCGAAACTTTTACCGGTTGGAGATTTCTGGTACCGGTTTCGGACTTTCCTGTTTGATCCGAGGATCTTTCTCGAGGAGAGGAAAAAGATTTTCAAAACAAATGGAGGTCCTGTTTTGTTTATATCTGAAATTCAATTAGAATTTTGGAAATCCTGAGATTCGTCGATTTATCGGGAGAATATTTGTAATTATGAGTGCGAAATCCATGTAGAAAAAATGATAATTTGTCATTTCCCATCGAATAGTTGGGTAATTCAGTAGGTGGCGAGAGATTGGGTTGAATTTTGCGAAATATCCTAGGTTCACGGTTGCATGCGCTTTACGGATTACAATTTCGTTGTGCATCTGTACCTATTGTGAACGTAGTTAGAATGTACCACATCGCAACAAGCGCGCGGGAGACTATACAAAAACCAGTTTTACTGGATTGCCGTAACGTTTTAGTCTTCTTTTTTGTCTCCTCCATCTTGTCTTCGTTGTTTGTGAGGCCCCATAGCGCGCACGTGCGCAAGAATAGTAGAATTTCTGTTGTTAGATCCACCGTGAAGAGAGGAAGAGTTGAAATCCACAAGATGCTCGGGGGGGAATATTGCGGATGCTGAAAACAACTCTTGGGTTTTAATTTTTTTTTGAAGCGCTTGGAATATTTACGAAGAGGAAAAAGTTTGGAATGGAGAATATTGCTCCCTATTTTTCTTCTTCGGCGTTTATACGTACATATAATCTTGACTATAATTTCGTTGGGATAAAAACTTGGAGCTTCTGTAATTGAACACCTTTGCAGTGTCAATTTAACGATTCAATTGGGTTGTTGGTTGTATTCTTTTTTCTTTTGAAATTTCAAGAAGCAAACGTCACATTGTGCCAACTTTTTATTTTAAATGATTTTTTATTGGATAATAAAATTTTATGCAAAACCCCAATGGAACGCTCGTTAATCGATCGTTATGACCCGAGCCGTCAGCTTCTCAGAAATCGTGTCACTACAAACACCTTTCGTCTTGCTGGCATTTTGCGGCATATGGATTACGAGTCATCAGTAACAGATGCCTCAGCACCGAAACACTACTAAGGTTTTTCGGTGCAACCAGTATGGTGTAAATGCAAGATGTTTATTTTTACGTAAAGTTCAGTCCTCCTGTCTGTATCACAGGTGGATTCGAAGGGACGAAAAAAATTTACATCTTATTGTAAGGGCCGTGACTCGTTGAATAGCATGAACAAATGAGCGTTCAACGGCAGTCAAAATAGAGATAACTAGGATTATCGAGGGAAATTTCTGCTGCTAAATGACGCGTGACGACTAATTGAATTTTAATTGGGCTATTGGAGTTTCTGTCCTTCGAGCGATAGCCTTGGTCATAACTCAACAATACTGGGTATGCAAATACATGAGTGGAGTTCAACAAACGATAGCCGCCTGAATCAACAAAATCTTGAGGAAGATAACGCGTCAGGTGCGAGAGTAGGGGAGAAACTGCTGTCAAATTTTCCGAGATAACGAGAGACAATTTTTCTCTCCTCCATATTCATGAGGAGCCATAAAGTAGATTGTCATTTTGATTTCGTTGCTGGCATATCCATCAGTACGGAAATTTATAAAAATCTTTGACTAATGAAAAGCAATTTGACAGGAGATGTTATCATAATCCCTTGCTATTTATCAATCTTCAAAATCACTGATTGAATTCTGGAAAAACCAGTATATGGAGGCGTGAGGGCATTTTAGAGTGGAAAAACTTGAAAAACTTGCGTCTAGTCATAAAGTTTCGTAGTAATATACAACGTATTTCTCGTCCCCTTTGTTTGACCCTTTTTATATTTTTTCCTTTCTCTTCTCCCCTTCCTCATTGAACCGTAGCACCTACAACTCGGTTTCTCTTGTGTTACCCGCGTGATGCTCGACTCACCCACGTTAGTAGTAAAACTTGGTCCGATAGTATGTGTATACCTTATAGGGCACTGTTGCCGTATTTTTTGACTGTAGAATCTTGTACCTGCGCTTCACCTTTTCGTAACAATACACTATACACTATACTCAAACGGAGAAGCGTCGGGGCCCGGTAGGCCCAGAGATTCTGTGCAAAGTGTCCTATCCTCGAGCTTTCATGTCTGACCACGCGGCGGCCGCGGTGGCACTGCCGTCGACTACGATCTCTTTGGGCCTTATCCCTCGCATTGTTGCAGTGACGCTCGCATCATCACGTATTCATATGAAGCCATACTTTTACGTTTTCAAATAAAAGTGTAAACTGTTGAGTTGAAATTCGCTTCAAGTTTGTTCATTCCCCCTGTGTGTCGATCATTAATATTTCAATGAATCAAGTGACACTATAATAGGCCGCAATCGGCAGAACGATTTGAGTGAATATTGTTGTGCTTCTCGCGAAGTGGCGGGTGTTTTTTTCTCACATTGTCACGAATGTAAGGGATGAAAATGAAGCAGGACGAACCACTTCAAAGCCGGAGGGCTCTCTTCCAAATCGCCAAGGTCTGTAGAATATTACAACCTTTTTTCGATGAAATATAAATTTGTTGAATTGAGACGTGTGTTCAGAGAACGCTGAGAAATGCTTGAGCGGGCATTGTAAGTGACATCCGACTTGAGGATAAGTGGCTCGAAACCATTGCATCTATGAAGGACAAAATGTTGGATTCGATGTTTATAACATTGCGGAAAAATTTTGCGTTATTCTCTTTTCCCCTGGTAATTTTTATTCTACGAATGAGTGAAAATTTTACCGTTGGTTGAATTAATAACTCGACAGTAATTGCGGGGGAATATTGTTTTGCCATTGAGTATAATTTATTGCTCTGACAGAATTACGGTGTGGAAAGACCGACAGGAAGTCATTTCATAAGTCAGAGAGCTCTACCATTCAATAATAAAAAGTGGATGAACTACCGTCTAATCGATAATATAGTATAGTAGTATAGATTAAACAATAATGACTCATGTTACCCCTGCCAAATTATCGATATGATTTGAAATACAGGGCCGACCACACCTGTCTCGTTCCCCTTTTTCATAGTAAAAAAAGTTATTTCCACATTGATGCGGTGTACTACGTGTCACACTTCGTTCCACACCATTTGTATCTCGCTGTGAATTCCCATGGGTTGGGTACACTGCACACGATAAAAGTCGAGAGGATAAACATACACGTGTAAGCGTCATTTTTCGCATTAGAATTCCAAAGTCATTCATATAAGATTTAACAGAGGTATTTCTATGTGCGGAGCACGAACATAAAATGAGACGCTCATTCATTTTTTCTCCCCTTTCGAATGGGAGGGGAAATTGTGGTCGTTCCACAAGACCTCTCGGCTAATTTTCCGTTTTAATAGTCCGCAGAGCACATTTTTTACACTATGAGTAATGGAAGCTTACTCTCAGAGTTTATACCTTGTAATTGTTGATGATTTAATCTTGATGAGAATTGAAAATTCATTCATTGTTCAAAATTACGAAGAATACATTGGAAATAATTTTATATGGAGAGAAAAATCTGTGCAATTTTACCAGAGTCCTGAGAAGAATTTTGAGAGGTCACACGATTACACGAAAATTCTGGAATAATTTCCAATAGATTTTTCTCTCCGTGCGTGATTGAACATCATGGGAATCTCGGTGATGGCATAAATTCAGTACCACCCACTGAAAGAACATTTTCTCAAATCCTCCAATTTTTCTCCCTGCATATACATGGTCACGTTTTTCCTAGCTATTTTCCGGCTATTGTGTGACGCACCACTCACTCAGGCGCGCTTGTACGGTGGGATCCCCCATGTACCTGCATCGTTTTGGGGTCGTTTGGACACCCCTAGCGGACCATGCCCTTGCTATTCACCTGCCTAAGGTCGAACAAATGTTTGTACAGGTTCACTAGAGCCTAAATTTTTTGTTCCCTATGCGGGAGCAGATGAGGGACTCAAGATTTCTATTCTTCGATTTATGGCCCTTTCTGTCCTTTCAATACCATTTCAGGTTTTCCCACGTTATAATAATTTTCATTATAATTATATACTTCTGGAGATAATGCTAGTAACGGAGCTTCCGTTTCTTCTGTATATGGGTGTGGGCAGAGAGGAGAATTAGTTCATAACTATGGCAAACTCCACGGGATGTGGGCATTCACGTATTCCTACTATCTATTCAATGCGGAGGAATCTCACCCAAATATGCCGGAGATGAGATAATCACGGTGAAATTCTCGTCAAGGCAAAAAGTTATACATTTACTTGGTATTCCGCAATGGTGTCAGTTTGTTTGGTTTCTATGAAAGATTGTAATTTCGATATACGCAAAGATAAAACTGTATTCAATTTTACTGTGTGAGCACCTAAACCCCAGGTTTACACTACAAGAACGGTATCTCCAGTTTATAGTTTAAATCTTTTTACATGGTATCGGTATGTAGAGTAATAAGGCTTGTACGTGTCAGAAACTACTTATTATCGGTTGTGGCAACATTCCTTAACATTATTATCCCCCCCCCCAGAAACTGTGGAATATTGAATTACCCATAAAATCCAGCCATGAATATCCGGCCAAAATGACCCTACCCTATGCGTCATTTCTGGTTTCAGGTGCTGTGGCATCTCGATATCTTCCGGAGGAGTTTCCGTGAATTATCCGGACATGCTTGTATGCGGGAATCCTGTATCTTCTGTGCCCTGAAGGTGAGTTATATCGCGACCATCTCATTTTCTTTTCTCTCCCAAAAATTGACATTCATCTCGTGTGTAAAATTCATCGCCAGCATCTTGTGCTTGCCATCATCATAAAATAATACTATCTGTCGCTGGTCACATCTTAGCCACCTTGCGAGAGACGTGGTGGGAATATCATCACTGTAAACAGTTCTTTTGTCTCAAATCAGCAGTCACTGTAGCAAATGATTGCGCATTAGAATCTCTAAGACACTCGTTGACGCGAGATTGAAACGTCGCGCAAACTTTCGATTTCAGTTTTTCCTTGATAAATCTTAGAGTTCAGAGGAGTATTGAGAATTTACGTCACAGCATTACAGTTGCATTTGGCATTGAGTATCATGCATGCAGTATGCAGTATGCAGCCTCCGGAGTATACCCACACAGTGCTACTGTAGCATGTACAACGTGGAAAGAAATCGGCGCATTCTTCCACTTATACTTTTACTTGTACGAAACTGGAAATACGCATACAAGTAACCGGGATCATAATATGTATACAGGTAGTAGTTATGTGCGCTCTGGGCACGACCAAGTGGAAAACCAGCTTGGTGAATGTATAGGCCTTGCTTTACAGAATGATGTCAGCCATTGCTTGGGACCCTCTAAGATCTATCTCGCCAGAAAGGGGACTTGGCGCGGATTGCTGGGGCCCCTCGCGGCGCTCCTCTTGTATTGTAGCAAGGTGGGGGCAGTTAGTCAGCACTCTCTTACGCGCTGTTCCGAAGATACGTGCGCCAAGTTAGCGTACTACGTTACTCCGGGAGGCTGAGGAAAATATAACGTTATATTTCCAATACATTTTTACGGGATTTACCGATAACTGCGTTTTTTTCGGCTTTTTCACATTGCCGGATCAATGTTCGCACACTTTAACGAATTGTTTTGTGAACACCAGTGTTGGCATGAGCTGTCGGATACTCTGGAGTTTCTGGGAGAGACAGTTCACTTGGATTACCCGAGGTTTATCAGTGTCATGGGATTGAATAGTAAAATTGTTCATGGGTTTGAAGAATGTTTTTGGATGAATATTGAAGATTGTGGGGAGTAACCCTGAGGGAGCGATCACGTGGGGATATCAGGCCCAGCGCTAGCTAGCCCTCCGAGTCTTTTGTTCTTCTGTTTCTCGATGGAGCTCCACGTCCCTCACCTTTCCATTCTTCGTGCAATAGAAATAAGTTTCTAATAGCAAAATCAAAAAATTTTGAATGGATGATGCATCGATTGTTGTGTCATATTAGTTTTTGTAATAGTGCCATTGTTGAAAAAATTGACCATTCGTATATTGTTATGAATCTAATGCCGATAATGCGGAGTAGCGGATTAGAACTGAAAGTGCCATCAATATGCGCGAAATGAGAGTGAATGTTTTGTGTCATCGAGGTGATAGGCATGCGATTCCCATTTACTGAGGAGCGGAAAAGGTATTTGATGTTTCATCCAGAGCTACAGACATGTTGAAGTGGATTAAAGTCAAACAGCCGAATGATGCAGCTGTTACTACGGTATATGAAAATCCGGGGAAGAGTGGAGATCAGGAGTTTGATGCATTGAATAAGACCAAAGGTGAAAAGGGGAATTGTGAGGTGGAGCCAGAAGATTCAGCCTCCATTGATTCAAAGGAGTCTCGCAAAGTATGTCTTCTTCGAAAGGAGATTTCCAAGTTTGATTGCGCTTTTTTACGTCATCTCTTCAACTCGGAAATGATTATGCAATTGAATAAAAAAATATTTGACCTTTCATTCTGATTCAGACGTGATTTTATCAAGTCGAGATATTAATGATATTCATGATAAAGAGGGTGATCAATTCAGTCGAAATTCTCCAACACTCGTAAATAATTAGGGCGAAGGCACAACCTCTACCTGATGGATTGCCAACTATTTCTTCTGAGCTCTTTTTTTTTTTTTCATTCGGGCCCCGTTTTTTCATCAGTAGATCAATCACGTCAAGAATCGAGTATTGACTATTTCCCAATAGAATGAAGAAATCATTCCGTTGAAAAATAGGTGTAATCTCCGCACTGATCTCAATCTGCGGGTTCAATATCAGGGGCTCTATTAATTGTCATTCAAATGAATTTTTTTTCTATTTATTTAGGGAATCCGTTAAAAGTTGTGGAACGATTTCGAACAAAAAACGGTTGTTCAACGAAGAGATTGTTTTGGGGAAATAGATATTAATACAAAAAAATTACACGCTTTAATCCATATGGCATAGGTAAAAAAAAACGTGACTCATTTACTTGGAGAAAGCAGTAAGACCGTGGCGACATGACTACGATTTGATGCAGGAATTTCATGCACAAGATGCTGCGTCAGTTTAACTGATGGAATTTTTGTTTTCAAGTCTATGATTGGCCCAAAATGATATTGACTTTGATCAATATCACCTTCATTTTTCATTCGATATTGGTTAATCTACAAGTTTGAATAATTTTCATGGCATTGTTTGAATTATTGAAGTATTTCTTCAACATTCAGCAACAACATGAAGATGAATGTAATGAAGATTCATTGAGTTTCAATAGTAATTTTGTCTTCCAGGATTTGTTTTCACAGTTGCAATTCTCGCAAGAGAGTGCACTACCCCCCGATGCACTGCGACGAGCTCTCGCGGAAAGTTTCCTAGACCAGCAGCGGTTTCAGCTAGGTTTCATGGACGATGCCGCCGAGTGTTTCGTAAGTATTTCAACATTATGCATCCATTCAATTGGTTTTAACTGATATAATAAGTATTTTACGATGAATAAATAATCATTCTGAGGTCAATGAGTATGGTTTACTGTTGGTAATATAAAATGCGCAGATACACAGTAAAAATCGTGTACATGGTGTACGCAAACCAACTGAGAATACAAAACAACTTTGAACTCCAAATCGCTTCCCTATTCTCATTCGTATTACAATCACATGTTTGCTCCGCGTTGGTATGTAGGTGCATGGATATGTGATACAAAAAAGTTTACCCACCGTATTCACACTGAATTATATCCCACCCCTTGGAAATAGTTATTTCGTTTGTGTCTATTAGATCGTCTTATCTTTCATCAGGAAAATATTCTTCTCCGTATACACTTGCACATCGCGAATGGAGAGGCCGAAGATATGTGCAGTGCGAGGCACTGTGTACCACATCAGAAATTTGCCATGACGTTGGTGGAGCAGAGTGTGTGTGGTGCTTGTGGTGCTACCTCCGAACCCTTACCTTTCACCCAGGTGAGTAAACATTCAAGTCAATTTATCTCTATTGATAATAATTCAATGCGAAAGCATAAATGCAGACCACAAAAATAAAATCACCACAGGAGAAGTGGGAATTATAATATGATGATATAAGATATCATGCAGTGCTGCTAAAAATTTAACGATTGGTTAATAATTGAAGAAAAAAGGAACTCTTGTCGATGCCCCAAAGTTATGTCATTATATTATGATGTTGTCAAAAGTTTAATGGAGGTATCAACATTCCACAATTGTTTACATTGTTTCACGCTGTATGCCGGACATTTTGAAAAAGTGTTTGTATTTTTATTTTTCGAGTATTTTGATTAAATAAAGAAAACTTTTGATAAGGACTACCTTAGAAGTCGAAACGTTGAATCATCGATAAGAATTCCTTCTTTCCGCTTTAATTATTTTTCAATTGTCAAATTAAAAATCTATCAAAAATCAATATACACTCATTATTTGAACAATATGACATTATGCCATAATTTTTATTACCATCATTTGGCAATTAATGTTTGAATAATATGGTAAAAATAAAATGAGAATTTTGAATTGAAAATTACAATTTCCAACTGCATTACGCAGTTTAGACTCCCATCACCCTTTCAATTCACACGATCCCCATCAATTTCCCATCATCTTTCATTCATATACCCGTGCAAAACACGTTTCTTCTCTCTCATTATGAAATAATACGTGGGAGGCTTTTCAGTGGGCATATCATGTGCCGTATTATCCCCTCATATCAATTCACATAATCCACGGATATGTATCAAGTGTTTCTCAATAGCATTAATGAATCCCCTGGATGAAGTTCAGTCGTAGCTGGCAATAAAAAACGACCGGTTTTTTTTTATTTCCAGATGGTCCATTATGTGTCAGCGTCAGCGTTGACGTCACAAGTCCGTCCGACATCTCTCGGTGACAAAAGTAGTGCCGATTTTTTCGGACAACTGTTGAGATGCGCTGGGGGTATGGGGGATATTCGAGACTGTCCGAGTGCATGTGGTGCTAAAATACAGATTTGCCGGACCCTCATGAATCGCCCGGAAATAGTGTCAGTCGGTGTTGTTTGGGACAGCGAGAGACCGTCCCTCGAGCACATCATGGACGTATTCGCGACAATTGGTACAAACCTTCGACTCATCGATGTTTTTCACAGTGTCGTTGACTCAAGATGGGGCACTTCAACCGTTCACAATCTCGTTGGAGTCGTTACGTACTACGGAAAACACTACTCCACCTTCTTCTTCCACACAAAGTTGAAGGTTTGGATTTACTTCGACGACGCTACAGTCAAGGAAATCGGTCCACGTTGGGAGCAGGTAGTGGAGAAATGCAGAAGGGGTCGTTATCAGCCACTTTTGCTTCTCTATGCAACCCCCGGTGGCACCCCTGTCAACACTGACAATGCCCCCAAAATCGTCACAGCATTTCCAGCGAGTAATACCATGAAAGTGGCCTTGAAGAATAATGCAAGACGATCGGTAACACCGAGCCCCGAAAAACCACCCATCAACAACACAGCGCGACGAGCCATTACACCGAATCCTGATCACCCACCGCACATCTACACACAGAGACGAATCTACAATGATTATCAGAATTTAACAGACATACAGAAAACGATATTCAGTAATGAGAGCGTGGACTCTGTCGATGGCGCTGTGGATTCGAAATACATAAGTCGTCGGGCAGTGGAGAATGTAATGCACCAGCAGAAGAAACAACAGATGCAATTAACCCGGAGTCTCAGTGCAGGTGCAACACCCCAGGATGGCATCAGCATTCCCGATCATTTGAATGTCTCGCGTCGTCGTGATTCGGGAAATTGGTCGGGGGATCGTAACAGCGCGTCGTCTAGCTCATCTACGACTATGGACAATCCTTATCTCTACATTGTGAATAAAATGCAGAGGAATTCGGCAATTCCAAAGAGTCCAACCAGTAAGTCTGGGGAAATATCGAGCAGCAGTAGTGGTCATTACGACGCGGGTTACGATTCTTATTCACTCTCATCGAACGATAGTTTGCCTCTTCAGCAGACGTTGAAGCATAATCTGCAACTTGCGCAGATACCAGAGAGTTATCAGACTGCTTTGGATGATGATTGCGAGCGTCTTTGCAAGGAGACTGATGCATTGTTGGATAAATCCCGAGCTGCTGAGGACGCTGGAGATTTGGGGACTGCAGCAGCTCTTTGCAATGCTGCCAGTAGTAAAGCCAGAGCTGCCATGGATGCACCCTACAACAATCCCCACACCATCACAATAGCCAGGATAACGCATAATACTTGTGTTATGAGATCTAGGAGTCTGCATCGAAGAATACTCCAAGAGCAGGTAGCTGTTAATGGGGAGAAAGAGGAGGCTGTCCCCGTGGGCAGGCACTCACGAGAAAATAGTAAATCAGGACAACATTCTCGGCAAAATTCAAGGGACAAGGGCAATCACTCACGCCAGAACAGTCGAGAACTGCTGATTAATGCTTCGGCATTATTGGAAAAACCAGTCACCAAGAATATTGAGATTTATGCGACATTACCGAAGAAGAAAAACCACCTTCGGAATAAATCTTCCAATGTCATTGAGGATGAGGAATACATGCTTTATGACAGACCTACACAGAGAATCAGTATTTTGGGTCGAGTGAGGAGATGCGATGATGACAAGAAAGATAAGAAGAGAGCGAGGAGTGAGGAGAGGAATAAAAATGTGTCCAAAGACTTTTCCCTCGCTCCTTCGAGATTATCAGTTTCACCGAAGAATGTTAAACCCGAAAAATCAAACGAGGTGAGTAAAGAGGCGACAAAAAATGGAATTAAAAATTCAGATGCAGGGCAACAACAGCCGCAGCAGCAGCAGCAGTCAGGAGATCAGAAAGGAAAGAAGCAACACAAAATAAGGAGAAAGCTCCTGATGGGGGGTTTGATAAAACGAAAAAATCGAAGTATGCCGGATCTTCGCGAAGGTCAGGTACCGCCGTCTAGCAATCAGGATGCATCAAGCACTCTGCCGAAACAATCTGTTGATGATTCGAGCGTTGGTCTTAAGGGGAATAACGCTGGACAGAGTTTGAGTGGTTATTTGTCAGAAGGACATTTGGAATTCACTGGCAATGTGACGACTAATGGCAATCCCAATCTTGAGCGCAGTCGATTAATGAGAAAAAGCTTCCACGGTAGCGTTGGCAAGGCGTTGCATGTTGCAAAAGTCCCTCCACCACCACCGCTCAGGACGACTTCTCAGCTTAGCAAGTCTAAGTGTCATGGAGAAGTGCGCAACGAGCAACACTCTGATCCGTCAGTCAATATGATGACTAATGAACAATCTATTAATTCATCACAGCAAGAAGTGACAGGGAATGGCTATTGGAGTCACTCAAATCCGGCCAATTTTTACACCAATGCTTCCAATGACAAGAGTTACGATGATTACTCATCAGAGCCACATTCCCTGCCATTTCTCCCTTCTTACAATGATCAGAATAAACACTCTGGGTTCATGTCCAACCCAGAAACGAATTACGATAATGCCAAGATTCAGGATGATGTAGTTAAATATGCAAATGGAATTCTCTATGAACCTGTTCTCGTGGTTACACATGCTGATGTTCACAGTGAGCAGAGCCCTGGAAAACCTCAGTTAGAAGCTCTACCACCGTATCCAGTGCATGCCAACATAGTCGTCTCTCATTCTCGACAATCTAGTGAAGATTTTCCACCGCCACCGTATCCAGCCATCCCGCCTAGTGTGGCTCATTCGAGGCAAACATCTGAGGATTTTCCACCTCCTCCTTCTCCACTGGAGGTGGAAAATTCTCATGCCCAGCCGATGACACAAACACAGACTGAGGTCCAGCAATTGAGTACTTTATTAGCGCAATTGCAATTGAAGAGACAACACATGCTCGAAGCCTCACAGAACCGAATGGAAATGCGTGAGGAGGAGGGGGAGGATAAAAATTCTAATGAAACATGGTTGAAGGAATTGCAAGCTAAACAGGCTGAGAGAAAAGTGAAGAGAGGGGGACCATTGGATGGTCAAGAAGTGCCAAAAAGTATTGCGAGGAGAACAAGTGACTTGATGATGAATAGTTTGAATCAAACAACAGTACAAACGACGGGGCATGATGTCATTGATTGTCCCAAGGTGGCTTCCTCCGTCAGAGACATGGCTGCGAGATTCGAAAAGATCAAGTCCCAGCCGGACCTTCAAAATGAGCCCGTTAATCCAACTCCCAACTTGACAAACTCGAATGAAATTCGAAGACAAACAGTGGAAACATTGAATCAGCCAGCCATCGTCCACGCCAGCCACACTCCACCTCCAAAGACTGATAATGAAATGCCCCTCGGTGTTAGTTCTGAATTTAACTCGACTCAGAATCTCGACGCCCCCATATCTGTAGCATCACCACCAGCGCCTGTACCTCAAACCAATAGTCTGAACGCTGCAATTCTCTCCATGTCATTGACCCTGCCACATGAGAACGGTTTGCCGATTGATTGCCCCGAGGACGATATAAGTGAAGTTGCTATGCAGAACACTATTCAAAATACGACGATTCTGCCCAACGAAGAGGACATTGCACCGAGGAAAACGAAGAATAGGATCGGAAAGAAGAAGAGTGTTTCCTTTTGCGATCAAGTTGTGCTGGTAGCTACGGCTGAAGACGACGAGAAAGATTCTTATATTCCGAATCCTATTCTCGAGAGAGTTCTCCGTTCCGCAATGAACAAGCCAGAGACTGCTGAAGTCCTGCGGGAGATCCGAAGCCTGCAAGAGGCTGAAATTAATCGAGAGAATGCTCCTGCCATGAAATTTCAGCAACATACGCTGCCATTGAAGAGCGAAGCTGACAGCATTCCAGCGACTCCCTTCCAGGATCAATTGAAGAGTGTTAATCCCATTGTGAGCGTCGCTGAATCGGCAGTGAAGACTGCTCCGGCTAAACAAACCTCTAATGAGACTGTTGATCCTATTCAAGAGATGAGGAATCCATATCCAAATCCCAATAATAACGACACCAGAGACAATTATATGAATTCAATGAATCAACAGAAAATTCCGTACTTGCCTCAGTCACAGTCGCAGATAAAGTACTATCAGAATAGTTATTCATCATCACCGACTATTCCCAACTATCCTCACACTTATACATCACATCCGAGGAATCAAAAGCCATCGAGTCCTTATACCGTTCAAATGCATCCGCAGTATCAGACTAATGTTCTCCAGCCAAAACCACACACAAATGGTCATTCTGGTTACTCTCAGTTGGAGTATAATCAGTTGAATAAACAGATGGCATTAATGCAATTGCAGAATAGCCAGAGTCAGAGACCCAGTCCAATTACTGTTCAATACAATCAGCAGTATTTCCATCAGGCCAATGAGTCATCGAATTTGTATCAACATCCAGTGAATGGTTATCAGGGTTATCCTCAACAGAGTAATGGACCGATGAGAATTACCCAACAATTACCGCAGTATCAACCGCCACCGAGTCGAGTTATTCATCCACACTCGCAGCCGCAGAATCAATTGGCTCAGCAGTTACAAAATACGCAACAGATGAGTCAATTGCACCATCAATCACCCCCGCAGAATCATCAACAACATCTCCACAAAAATCAGAATTATCAGAGATCTCCGCAAAAGGTAGATCAGCAGAATGTGCTCGCGCCGAATCAGACTTATCCCCATTCACTTCACAATGGACAGATACCATCTAACATGAAATATCCGAATTATCAGCATCCACCAATTCCGAAACAAGCTAAGCAGATACAAATGCAAGCCAATGCCAATGGGAAGGGTCAAAATATTGGCATGCCAATTTCACCTTCCCTGCAAAAGACAGCCCAGGCGTCTGTTGGTTCTAAAACTGTACCTTGTCACTTGTGCCGGAAGAAACCAGTTGCTGAAACCGCCATTTATTGCTCGGATTGCGAGTTTTACATGTCACGGTTTCGGCCGAAAACCTGAGATGCACATATTTCTTCCCTCTGACACTGCACTTTTTTGGAATGTCAATAATTCATTCAACTGTTGATGATGACGGAATAATTTTTTTGCTTGTAAAGTACAAATTTTTCTCTCTGTGATGAGTCCAGACTGAGCTCAATTGATCAACTGATTTCTGAGTTGTGAGCATTTTGAAAAAAGTAAAAAGTGTCCACTTTACCTCACCCTCCCCGATGCCAATGGTTTGGCATAACTGCTCAGTGTTCACAAGCTCTTGGAGAGGTGCTTTAATCTGTACAAACTCAGCTTTCATTCATCTTCTGTCTTTTTAACCCGTCAGTAGGCGCCCGATGAGAGACTCCCCTATAGACTTCTCGTAGGAATAGAAGCCAATGGCAACGAAGCCAGTGGCACGAGTCCCGTGCCCGTAGCATGTAAAAAATTTCGGCCGAGCCGAAGAAAATATTTTTTTTCTACTTAACCCTGACTGATAGACGATTTTCATCACCATCAGACTGAACTAGAAGAGTTACTTGAGGCATTTAAAAAATTGCAGCAAAATATTTGCATTTTTAGGGTATATTTCCTGTGGAGTAAAAATTTTTGTGAGGGAAACGCTTATACCGCGCCTACTGACGGGTTAAATCCAACCAACTATTGAAACTATTCGATCTATTCAAGTAAAATGCAATTGCAATAATTATACTTCTTTCTATTATAGTATTATATATAGTGATAGGATGAAACTTGAAATATTGTATATTAATGCTATCAAACTTCTAGAATTTTATATGAAAAATTGCGTTTTAATCAACTCACTATGGAGTGTTAATTATAATGAGGGGTTCAGAAAGGACGAAAAACTGGAGATTTTTTTCACAGACTCATTTTACGATGAGATAATTTGGCAGGAGGTGAATGTTGATTATGAATCGTCACCTCACGCTAAAATGAATAAGTATTTGCAATATTCGTCCCATCGAGGAAATTAATTTAAATCTGTGAATTTCCCCAATGTTTAATTTTCCTTTTGATGTATGAATAACTTGTGATAAAAACTGAAAAGTGCAGCTCGATCGATCTTCATAATTTTACGAATTGATGTACGGAAATTCATTCCATGGACACAGTTGTGCCTTATTTCAGTGGATATATCGCTTGAAATGTTATACCTAGATTATATTTTGATAAGTCTTTGAGATTACTTATATAAAAGTAAGAGCTGTCATTGATAAAGTGAATATTTAACGATTAATAATGAATCGTTAGTTATGTATCTAACGAGAATTTTTATCTCTATTTTTAAATTCCTTAGACACGATAACGGGAATTCCCCCAACTTTCCGATAATAAGCGAATGTACATAGAATATGATCGATCATATTGTACAGAGAATATGTAGCTATACAGTACTAGTACTTAAGATTTATGAGAATTGTGATACTAGACATCTTCCGTAAAACTTGTATGAAAAATGTCTTCTAATCGATAACATATTATATAAAAATAATTAGGATTAAATTACAAAAGATGGAAAAAAACTTGATCTCTTCAGTGAATGCGCAATATTCGCTCTGGATAGTTATTAATGCTTAAATTCGTCTTCATTTAAGGAACCTGTACAATTTTTTTTCAACGTTTATAGCTCTTTTTCAATGTAAAAAGTATTTTGTTTTAAAAATACTGAAATATATGTCTATTTTCATGTTGATATTAAAAAGTTTTAAATAATTTCTTTATTATCGTACCTCATAGCACACTAACTCTAACTTTTGATTTGATGTAGGGAAGGGTGGGACGAAAAGGACACTTTATATTATGTATTTTAAAGAAAAAAAATCGATCCCGTTTGATGGAACATGCATTGAAATAAAAAAAACTCACAAAAAAGTGTCCAATATCTATTGTCGATGCTGTGGGTATCAATCAAACACAGTCACTCACCAAATGATGATATCTCGCCTGTGCACAGTGTGTAGCCTGCTTTCTCGTCTAGATGGCGTTAGTAACTGGTCTCGTCCCTTTCACCACTCACCCACTCTACAGTAATGGCGTGTGACGGCTAGTGAAATAGCAACAAACATTGGTTTCGTGTTGATTTAATAAATGCACAGTAAATTCCATCGACAATATTGAGTGTTTATTGTTTTATTTGAAATGACGAATGCCACTAATCTACTCCCGTCTTATCAGCGCTTCGTTAATGGTGTTCCAGTGCCACTGTTTTCACGTCGTTCATTTCGTCCAAAAGAAAAGTATCTCATAGTACTTGTGTTTTTGACGTTTAGTGCATTGTGTTTCGGTACATTCTTTCTCCCAGATTTTCGTAATACTGGGGGTGCTTATAACAGTGTTTATCAGGTGTATCAGAAAATACAAAAAGCTGGCCCGGACTTACTCCTACCGGCTCCACCACACGGTTATTCGGGTTCAAAAGACTCTCACGGTCCTGGTGGTAATGTCAACATCATTCACATAGGCCTAGAACGTCCTAATAATGCTGAGGATGAGGATATCCACATTATCGAGGACAAACAGAAGCTACAGGTTAGTCCAGATGGTTTCGATCTCTCACATTCGCGTCGACGCTGTTACACGTGTCTCTTTCGCAATACTTTCATTTTTTCATCTTTCATTGTCGAGTTCATTTTATTTGCCGTTATTCCTAAATCATATGGTGGGCTTACTCAATGTTTCAAGGAATCATTGTACCTTGGTTCAATCATATTTTCCCTTCTTTTTTGGAATATCGATCATATTCCCAAAACGTCGTGTAAAAACATGTAAATAAAACGGAGAATTTCAATTTTCAATGATTCATTCAGTCGGGAAATTCAAAAAACAGCCATTAAATAAATTTTTCCCCAACGTTATTAAATTAATTATGTCACTGCAATTCTATTTATTCTATCAATAGGATAATCTTCCTTGTTATCATCATAATCTAAAATTTTAATTCAATTCTCATAATTGATAAAAACCAATACAGAAGCGCCTGCATGACAAATCAATATTTGAATAGTTTGGCTTGACAGAATTTGATATTCATAGTTTTGAGATAATTACAAATAAAGGTGACATTACCAACACCATAAATTGTGATTCCCTCGGTATGATGAATCCGTAACACCTGTGTTAATGGTTATCGATATTGACCCCCTTGTGCACGGAGGCAAGCACTCAGGGTATTACGCCCGCCGAACCTGAGAGTGGCGACAAATTAATCTATCTGTACTAGAGGGTTAAACTTGGGTAATTTATCTGGCCCCTTCTCTACCCGTTTCGCGTGACTTTATTGATCAGTAAGAGTTTCAGCTTTCCCATGGAAATTGAGAAAATTCAATTGTTCGTTATCTCAATGTTTGATTAAATTTCATTTCTTAATTAACGATTTATCACCAAAGTGCTCATCTGATAATTGAAATTATTTTTACATTGCTTTTCTTTCAAAGTAATGGGACATTTTTATCCAGCCGAATTATCCGGCACACTTGACCCTAAATTGATATTAAAATTATCTGCAAATGATTTTAGGCAAAAATTGACGAAGAATATCAGCAGCAAAAAACGTTGGAGAAGCCCGACACTGCAGTGGAATCTAGACCACGCGTTAGCAGTAGTGTTGCGCCATGGTCACCGGATAATAGACATGAGGAGATTATAAAAACAGTACCACCAGCTCCAGTAGAAAGTCTGACGCTCCCAGATGGAGAGGATAAGGACCCAGTTGCACGAGAGCGTAGAGATAAAGTCAAAGAGGTAAGTTCTGGTTCAATCTCTCATACGTTTCTAATAGTTCAGGATTGCCAAATTTGGCTTTTCATTCCAAATAAATCGTGAATACTAGTTGAATTTGATTTGAAATATCTTGAGGCGCTTGAGGAGAAGACATTGACGGAATTCTGTATGCTCATTAAATTGGTCCAAGACTCTATTTTGAATATTATCATTCTTTGATGTTTTCTCTAATGATTTAAGCCTCTCAATTTACTCCGTCGGAGTCGCGAGAATTGTGGCAATTAGTCGCAAGCCCCTCATCTTTGTATATTTCTCATCACTAAATGGTGAATTCATTCAATGGTATAAAACCTTGAATAAATGTTAAATCTGTGATTTTTGTTTCACTTCATCCGGATTCATAGCGTACCGTAATATCTGCGTCAATGAAAGCTTCGCGGAATGTCAAATATCTATTTAACATTTTGTTACAATTCCAATACCGACTATATGTCTTTATCCTTCCTATGATCGTTCTCATCAAGAGCAGTTATAAGTCGCTATGTCAAGGGAAAGAATTTATCCTTGAGTATTCAACCAACACTACCAGTAATATCTTTTCAAATGGCCCATTGGTCTGGCTTTTCGTAAAAAACATGTTCGCCCTTCTTCCCAAGTCTAAGGTATTTTCTCAACCCACCCTTTCTTTATACTCAACCAAGATTAAATTTTTTTTCTACTGCTTTTCTCCCGGTGTCTCTCTGCGTCTTCATACTCCATCGCTTTTCTCTCTTTCAAATAACATTTTTGCGACTCATTTCAACTGTTTCTCGAAGTGAAAACTGTTCTATTCTATTGTTGAAAACTTGAATATTGCTTTCCGGAGGTTCATTAAGGGTATATCGGTGTTATATTACGGTAGAATTGTTACTCTCATTGTCTCTATTATAACGGAAAAAACTCTTTTATTATCATACACGAATCTCTTCTTTGTGAAGAAAACTTTTTAAATCCCTGAATCATTGCCCTCTCCTGGGATATATTCGTCAAGCGCAAAGTGATAATACGTGGGAAAATACTTTATACTGATCCCCTTAGCACCAGATGCGGATAATTCACCAACCATCGGCCTAATTAACGGAATACCTTCCAACGACTCAGACGTTTACGCGCGGGGGGACGCTTGAAAACCACCGTCTGGGTGAAATTCTGAAACGTCTGCATATATTCTGCACGAAATTCCAATTCGCTTTGCATCAAGACCTGATTAGCTCAATTAACTCGAGCGTGCACTGACGAACTTTGAAGGCGCCTTCTATTTAAAAAATTCATCCGCTTCAAAAGATTATAATGTTATTTACAAATTAGTTTCCGAATTTGTTGTGGGAATAGTAATTAGAATGAGGGCTTTCTGTGGATGAATCAAGAATATTTTGATTGATGATCAGAGAAATGTTCCTCGTCGTACTGATTTGTGAGTCCCTTTCACATAATTCCTCTATGTATTCCCAATGAGTACCGTCAAATGATTAATTCCAAAGGTAAATTTCCCAAATGAATAGACTCAATGAGCACAGCATCCCCTTTGAATAAGATGCCTAAAGCTAAATCTTCATTGGACACATATAATGTACATTGGTAAACCAGCGCAGGATTTCAATTAACATAATTCCATAGAATCAGGTCTATCAAAATGGATGGGACACTAGGCAGGGCATTTAACAATTCTATTCAAGATTTCGGTTGCTTCGGTCCTTTTTTTACCCCATTCTACACCACCGCAACATTCCCATGGAATTATCAGTCCAGTTACCGTTCTACCGTTCTCGGGGGTTTCTCAGTGGCATTCTAAAAGAGACTACCTATTCCTTGAGCTTTCTGCAACGGTTTATCTACTTCGGTCTAGCTCTCGGTCACGAGGAAAACCGCATTAATTGCCTAACATCACAAGAAAGGGTCTTGATTTCATTAGCGATAATGCCTGGCTGTGTTTCTACCACACGGCTTCCCAAGATACTCATTTGGAGAATCTCCAACGATAGAAGTGAAATGAAGAAAATAATGTGTCAAGTAATGGAATTTTTTTAAGAGGATTGATAACTGCTTGATGAATTTTTTAATTATTCACAGAGGGATGATTAAAAGGTAACTGGACGGACTGTGCGGACTAAGAGTAAAAATGAAATCCCAAGTTAATGAATATTGCCCGTTGAAATCCCAGTATAGGATCTAACGGGTTTCGCAAGCTATCTGCAGATAATTAGCTAATTTCGATTCTACTGTACGATGCAGTTTGGAGTTGGTAAAGATCAATGGAGAGGAATCATCTCCAGTGAGATTCCTTCCTCGTTCATTCATTGGATTGATGGATCACGTTCCCATTTTTTTTTGTTGTTGAGAAATTGTAGAGTTTCCTCAAACTTTTCCGAGATTGATCTCCTCCATAGTAGTTAGCCACTTCTCGCAAATTACTTGAGAGTGGAGGATTCCACGTTAATGTCTCAAATCTCCATGGAAAAATAGAGAAAAATCTATGTCTAACTCCTCATAAACGTAAATTGAATGGCACATCAATCAAAACGAGTGAAGCGCTGAGGGATCCAACAATTGTCATTTAATCGTTCGTGAAAAAACATGCAGATTCCATCTTCTGCAAATATGTTGGAGATTAAGATTGACGACCACTCGGAATGTGTCAGTTCTGGTATGATATGAGCTTCTAAGTGTCTGAAGTAAAATGGATATGCGTAATTTGGTGCAGCATCACAATCTGCAGGAGAGAGTTTTTTTTCCATTTCTTTTCAAGACAAGAAAAAATATTGGATCGATGAACCAAATACCCAAATCACTATGAACTTATCCTTCCATCAAATATTCTCCCATTCGTACCCGGCCGCTGCACAACTTCCAATGGGCCTTCCCATTTGACCTCTCAAAATAACGTATGCAAAGCACAAATGCACGTGAGACCGTGCATCATCCAGAATATTGA